TCAGCCCAACACCACAAGTTAATCAAGGAAATGGTCAAAAAGAAAGCTATTATTTGACTTCCTTCCCTCCCTCATCAAAGCGACCTCCCTGGAAATAACAATTGGCTTTCCAACAAATGGCTCGATAACTGCAAAGAGAAAGCAATGAGCGATGCAAGTAAAGAGAGGTTTAGCAACAATATCCAAGAATAGCTGATCAAATCAAAGGGTTTCGGCTATCGGTAATGATACGTACACACCATTTTCTCACAGATCCAGCCACACCAGCCTATGTGGCTAGACAAGTCACCTCTATATGGGCCCACTTCCCTATCAACTGGGAAACCTCTTGGAGATGAAGAAGAAACTCATAAAAGCAAAACTTCTCGATCTTGGACTCCGACATGCAGCTTGGAGAATTTCCAGACCTTGCTCTAACCCTTCTTCAAAGTTGTATTTGCTCTAATACTTCATCAAACATGTTCAAATTATTGAAAAATCAAATCCTTCATTGAATATTCCAAACCCACCTGCATTCCCAAACAACAAATTGGTCCCAAACAACAAGATCAAATAACATTTCCGTAAGATTGTCTAGTATAACAACAAGAGGCCAAAGCACATGGGAAGCCGCCAACGGAACACAATGCTTCGGCAAGATTACAAGTTGGTCCCGAAAAACTAGCCACAAATACTCAGGGCATGTGCTAAAATCTTAAGGAATTGAGGTTACGAAGAGTAGTTCTGTTAAAGGAGGCTACCAAATACGTCATTGACGCTGGCATTTGTTTGACCAAAGAGTAAATGAACATGCACAAGCAAAAGGACAATAACAAGATCAATCAAATCATGGATGGTTATGTAATTGACGAAGTTACATCTACATGAAGTTCAGGGAGTCTGTTGCATCAATATAATATAGCTTCAAATACAGCTTGAACAAGGTTTATAGAATGAGATAAACTTTTTGAGTTAAAATTTGGGTGAAAATCCAATTTGGGGGAGAGCATCTCCAATGGTAAAACCCATTTTTTATCCAAATTTATTATTTTTTAAATATTCAATAGGATATATATAAATAAGAGAAAGGATAAGCTACTTACCAACAAAAAAGAGGGAGAGAGAGAGGAGATGCTCAATCGAACAAAGCTCCGGCGGCAAAGCTCAGCACAGCTCCGGCGATGCTTAGCAGCTCTGGCAGTACTTAGGTACAAAGCTTCGACAATTGATCAGGTCCATCTCTCTCATCTCGAACAAATCTTCGATTGAGATATAAAATGGAGTTCAATCGCTACTGAGAGAGAGTCCAAACAACCAAATGGTAGATTGCTATTGTATTATGTTTTGAGACTTTGTATCTATATCAATGCCCACCCCGACATCAACCAATTTTTTCACAAGAAAATCCAAAATCTTCAAAATTTGACTCTTCATCCGAAAATACACGTCATATACGTAACTGTATTTTTAGGACAAGTGTATATATATTCTGCTGTTCATATGTTGTTATAGTGGGACCCGCATGACTGAATATGCTTTTCCTCTCCCTTCTTCTCTCTTCCGCTCTTCTTCAAATTCGCAAGATTGTCAATTTGTCATTCTTTTCTTTCTAGATTGCTGGTGGTGTTGGTTGCTATGGAGATGACGGTGCCGAAGATGGTATTTTCTGGTGGTGGTGATGGTTGCTATGGAGATGATGGTGCCGGGAAGGTATTTTATGGTGGTGAAGAGGAATAGAAGTAGGGGGAATTGGGAATTTCGCCTAGGCTATTGATTGGGAAATCCTGTAGTGCAAGGCCCTGCAAAGCACCCTGTAGGGCACACACGAGCCATTGATCTTGACAATGAATGGTTGAAATATGATTTTTAATTATGACTGGTAAGAATCATATATTACCGATCAAAATTGATTTCGAATGTGGACCGTTGATTGATGAGATTGATGTCTATGCGCAGCCCTAACCCCTGAATCCACTATTAGGTAGTGTAAGAATTTTGGTGGCTAGGTAAAATAGAAAATAAGCACTTTTCCTAGTCCATTTGGTGATTTTTGTGCTTGAGGCTATTGGAGATGCTCTAAGACGTGGACTTAAGGTATTTATATAGAGTATGACTTCTATCTAAGTTCCTCCGGTAAATTCTAGATCATAAATTGGGAGTTTTAGAACATAAAAACTTTCTCACAACCCATGAGTCTTCCACTGGGATTCACCCGATGGTAGTGCTTCGGATCTCTTCTCTTCCTCACGAATTTCAATTTTCCGAAGTTCTAGGCGGTGCTTCATTTGTTACACGTACAACATTTAACTTGCATAATTTACATAAATCAACATATTGCACGTGAATGTGGTATAATTGGTATTCCCAATTTTGTTTTCTTTGATTTGGTCGTAAAATTTAGGCATCCGGGTCAGCTTACGCGCACTTCAATTAGGACTAATTCAACCATCCACTTGCGGGGTCTCAATTAGAGTTAGAGTGAAGCTCTGTTTGGACTGACCCGAAAGGAGTTGATAGCACTTGATAGGATTCAAATCCAAGACACTGGAGGGAGCAAACCCCTTAAGTTGTAGGTCTTGACCATTTTATTTCTCTGGTGTTTTGCATGTATTGCCAAATGGTAGATCTGTTTTCTTTTATTCCTTGTACATATCACATCGATCGGAGATTATACGGGTACTTTGATGTCATGCATGTGGTGTTAAGCGCTAAACAAATATGCCAATTTTCAGCTGTATAAAATTACTATATTTAGAGAGAGAGAGAAATTTTATTTAGAGAGAGAGAGAATGCATATGAAGAAGTTCGTTGATTCATCGTAGAGAGAGAGAATGCATATGAAGAAGTTCGTTGATTCATCGTAGAGAGAGAGAGAGAGAATGGATAAGAAGAAGTTTGTTGATTCATTGTAGAGAGAGAGAGAGAATGCATATGAAGAAGTTCGTTGATTCATCGTCACTGCCACATGGGATTGGATAAAGAAGCATTTAGCCCTCCACGCAAGGATAGAATCTTCTTAATTTATCTCTTTCCCCACCAAAAATCGATCTCCAAAACGTTTTGTTTCATCACCGATAATTTCTCAATCGCCATGGAGGATTCGTTGGAGGTATGAACCCCTTCTCTTCTTCCTCGTCCTCTCTCTCTCTCTGTTTCCCGGTCCGTTCCTCTCCCTTTCTCTTGGTCTAATTTTCAAACAACCATGGCAAGCAAAAGCTAGCTTGGGTCTGTTTTTTGAACACCACACACAATCAAATTAAAGGGCCTTCAATTAGCTTTCTTTACACCATATCAGGTGAGGTGAGATAATGAACTCCTGGCCTCCACTTTGAAATTAAAAACTCTAAACCTAAATCAATTTGGGGCAAAGTTGGTTGATTTCTTAAATTCACATGTTATTTTTTTTTTGCAATTGTAGAATTTGTAACTTAGGAAATCTTGTCGGATTTTCTTTCACAACTAAATTCCGGAATAGGTAGTTTGGTGCACTCTTGTATTTTGCGATATAATCTTTGCCTTCGGGCTGGAAATGGATTGACTGATTCAAAAAAAAAAAAACTCAAAATTGACTATATACCGTACCGTTGTTTTTTGGACAAATTCCCTAATAATCGGTTCGGGTGATGATGTGTATTTTATGGTTTGAACGAGTTGAATATCTGTTAGGAAGCATATCCATACTAATGTCTTTGCTCCATTGTCGACGATGTAGGTTCTTGACCCCACTGTCTGAAAATCCTCGCTCCGCTCCTGTACATGGGCTGATAAGATCATACGTCAATGACAGCTTCACATCCCACATGCACACTGCGTTAATCCACTCACTCAAACCTACTATTTATTGAATTTCCAAATCATTAACACAAGACAAAATCCTCATAAATATCTTTTCTTCCCCATATATATTACCCTGAAAACCCCCACAAATTATCCTCACAACCAAATTTCCCATAAACCTTAGTTCTCTTCCTCTTCTCCTTCTCTTCCTCTTCCTTGGTTATAGAAAATGGCAGCTGAGCAATACAAGGATATTGAGAATGGTGAGAGAAAAACTGGGATTGAGGATTTAGAAGAGCCTTTCATTGATCAGCACAAGAAAGTCGAGGAATCCGACGAGGAGGATCACGAGTACTGCTCTGAAACAAGCGGCGAAAAAGGATCGATCGCGATGGTCCTTCTTAGCACTGCCGTTGCTGTTTGTGGCTCGTTCGAATTCGGATCATGTGTGAGTATCTAAAATGTCTCTGTTTTTTGTTGTTTAAACCAGTTTACGGTTCAAGAAACAGTTTTACTACAAACATTTCTCTTTCCTTTTGGCCGTTGATTTTGTCACTCCATTTTTTTGTTAATGCCACTCCTCTGCAAGTGTATTTTTGCACCAAAAATACACTTGCAGGGGAATGGCGTTAACAAAAAAGAGAGTGACAAAATCATTTCCCTCTTTTTTTTGCCCTTTTGTGTTTTTGGTAAGGAAAAGAAAAAGAAAAGAAAAGGAGTTAGAAATCATAGAAAAACAAGGGAAATGATTTTGCAACTCCTTTTTTTTTGTTAACACCACCCCCTGCAAGTGTATTTTTACACCAAAAATACTTGCAGGGGAGTGGCGTTAACAAAAAAAAGGGAGTGGCGAAATCAGCGGCCAAAAACAAAAACCAAAAGGGAAAAAAGGGGATTATAAGTGGTTATTTTTTTGCAGGTGGGGTATTCAGCTCCTACTCAATCGGCTATTAGGGAGGAACTGCATCTATCTCTGGCAGAGGTTAGTTAATCACTTAATTTTGTTCTTAAAACAATTTTCTCCTTGTTTCCAAAAATCATTTCCAATTTTTTTTTTTCCCTTAGATGCGAAAAATATGAGTTTCAGACTTTCAGTAACAAAATTTTCACCATTATTTTGCAGTACTCCATGTTTGGTTCCATTTTGACGATTGGTGCCATGATTGGTGCTATTACAAGCGGCCGAATCACCGACTCCATTGGTCGAAAAGGGGTAAGTAAGTTAACGGCCTCCGTAAGTTAAAAGTAGACGTCAAGTCTCGAACTCGAGACCCTTAGCGAACTTGAAACAAGCACCCTACCAACTGGGCTAGCTTGCAAATACCTGATTGACAAATGGATACAGATAATGTTTCCAATTTTGCTCTCCTGAAAATGACCCTTTTGAGGAAACAATGTAATTATGTTATTAGAGCCATATAAGGATGATGAGAGTTTGCTGTACTTTTTTCTTTTTTCTTTCTGAAAACCTGAAAGACGAAAAAGGTATCGAACAGTCTTGAGCTTGTGATGAACTATTACGAAGCTTGGCCACCAAAAGGGCTGGAAACGAGCCAAGCCGAGCCGAGCTTGGTTGAGCTCGAGCTCGTAAACGAGCCAAAAATTCAAGCTCGAGTTTGGCTTGAACCTTAACGAGCCGAGCCCTTAATGAGCCGAATTTAGTCATTTAATAAACGAGCTTCTTTAATCGAGCCGAGTCGCCCTTAACGAGCTGAGTTTTTGTGGATTGAGCCGAGCTCAACTCGGTTCGTTTACTAAATGAGCAAAAAACTCAAGTTCGAGCTCGGCTCATTAACTAAACGAGCTGAGCCGAGCTTGCAAGCTACTCGGTCCATTTCACTTAGTATTTCAGCAGTAAATTTTTTGAACATTTTGTAATTATTTTCTTGAAAGCAGGCAATGAGATTGTCAGCTGGTTGCTGCATTGTAGGGTGGCTAGCAGTCTACTTCGCTATGGTATGCGTCATATGCCAATTTACCATGATGAGAGAAAACTTATTTACGGAGTTTCCGTGAACTTACAATCTGTTCAACGGAGCTGCGCAATCTCAGCCGTCCATTTGCGCAATCAATGGCTGAGATTCGTTTTCAATCTTGACCGGTCACAATTAATTGTTACCGGTCACAATTGATTCTCAATCCGGATCGACTAAAAACACTCTGGACACACACGATTGGCCTCCATAAAGCCTTCTTCACGGAATGGTCCGCAAATAAGATCATTTTCTGTGCTATGATTTCAATTTGTAGTTGATGCAGTTTATCAGAATCAACAACTGAAGACAATACCGTTATTTGAATACAGGGAGCTCTGTATCTTGACATGGGAAGATTCTTAACAGGATATGGCATTGGAATCTTCTCTTTTGTGGTACATAGTATTCATCAATTGAATGTCATGAACTATTTGGGCTAACTGTAGGCTATTTTTATGTCTAAATTACCCCTGCAAATGATACTAGTCAAAATCCAAAAAATTCATCAAACTAAGTTGATGAACACATGAAACAGGTCCCTGTATTTATTGCTGAAATAGCACCGACGAATCTCAGAGGAGGGCTCACAACGCTTAACCAGGTATGTGATATATATACTGGTTGCATTTGGATCAAGAACTAGTACAGAACTTTCGTAAAATGATCATAGAAAACTGTGTTGGTGTCAACGTACTAACATCTTACTTGTCCCATTGTGGCTCTGAAGCTAATGATTGTTACCGGTGTATCGACTGGATACTTGTTGGGAACACTCATAACATGGCGATCACTAGCCTTGACAGGTAAATGTTAACGTTTTCAAATTATTTGAGTCCATTACAAATGAATATGTTATGAGCGTGCATTTGTGAAAACATACTGAGTATTTCGTATAAAAAAAAAAAATCAGATTTTGACATATAAAGGGTAAAACGGTCATAACATTGATATCAGAAACTGATAGTGGATTTGATTTGAAGGACTTCTTCCGTGCATTGTCATATTCTTCGGTCTATTCTTTGTTCCTGAGTCCCCTAGATGGCTGGTGAGTTTTGTCACATGAATCTTCTGTATTTTTTGTTAATGCAAAATTTGCTGGGAAAAATATATATATATATATTTGTAATTTCAGGCGACGGTAGGCAAAAAGAAAGAATTTGAAGCTGCATTGCGAAAGCTTCGTGGAAAAGATGCTGATATTTCTCGCGAGGCAGCTGAAATCCAAGTAAATTTTTTTTTAAAAATAATTTTAATGGCCATAAGATGAACTGAAATAATACTTGTAATTGCAAAACTGAAGTACTACTTTCTTTGTCTCTATAGGCTTATATCGAAGATCTTCAGAGTCTTCCAAAATCACGAATGACAGATCTGTTTGATCGCAAATACATTCGCTCCGTAATTGTAAGTAACGTTTCATATCTTTTTGAAAACGATCGATAGTTCTAGACCAAAAAAAGTACAATTTTTTTGAGCTTGCAAGTAATCTCGTGGGCTAAATGATCTTTGGAATGATCCTTAGATTGGTGTTGGATTAATGTTCTTCCAACAATTTGGAGGAATTAACGGAGTAAGTTTCTACGTCAGTGAAACCTTCGCAGCAGCAGGTAAACATGTTGTCGTACGTACTATGTTTAAAGCTACCAAAATCCCAGAAAAATTTCACAGAGAAAAGCCCAAGCTAGCTCAAAATTAGGGATAAGAATTTGAACTTTTTTAGTGTGAATACCTTGAAAATACTGATAACACTCATTGTGCATATTTGCAGGGATATCAGGGAATGTTGGAACTATAGCCTATGCAATAATTCAGGTTTTTAAAACTACCCCTTCCTTCCTCTGAAGTTTCAAATGAACCAAATCTTTGCAAATTGGCCGCACAAAACCCCACTAGCTCAGAGAAAGCGTAAATGGGAACGGGTCATTGAAGACAGCTATAGCGACCCGGATCCCTCAACGCCATGCTTTACATTGATTCATCTCTGTGTATTCCTTGTTTTGCAGGTTTAGTTGTTCGTGTCTAAGGTGTCTTGGGCATTGAAGGGATGCTCGTGTTTTTCTTTTGGGTTTTGTGGGGGTGTTTTGTTTCAGCCTTGTTTTGTCGGGTTGTTTTTGTGCTGGCTATTATGTGGGTTGTTTGTATTCGTATGGTTGTACTGTTGATTTGGTTTCTACGATATTAATGGGATGATATTGTCCGTCAAAAAAATCTTTTTGCAAATTAGCAAAATTGATTTGCATTTGGATTTACAGGTTCCTGTAACCTTACTTGGAGCGATACTAATGGACAAGTCTGGAAGAAGACCACTTCTCATGGTGAGTAATTCATAAGTAATTTTAGAATTTAAAAAAAAAAAATCATGTATATATTGTGAAATAATGGGAAATAAGTAGTATTCTGGAGGCTAAGAAAATGGTTCTGAATTTGTTAAGGTCTCTGCAACTGGAACATTTTTAGGATGCATTTTAACTGGAACCTCTTTCTTCCTCAAGGTAAGCTGCCTGTAACAGTAAATTCATCTGGTATATATATAAAAGACTTTCATCCTCCCCCACCAAAGTTGATATTGATTATTATTATTTTTTTTTATCATGAATAAGGGGCAAAGTTTATTGCTTGGATCGGTTCCAATATTGGCGGTCTCCGGAGTACTGGTAAGTTAAGAAAAGAACATTTCTTTTCCCGCTCTTTTTGTACAGAACATGTACTCTGAATGATATGACAGTGACATTTTTTTGAAGTACCGTGCCTAACGTGTTCTCCCCCCTTAATGACACCAGGTCTATGTTGCATCATTCTCTATTGGAATGGGAGCAGTTCCTTGGGTTATCATGTCTGAGGTAACTTCAAACCTCCAAAGTCAATATGCCTAGAAAATTTCTTTTTATCCTACTTTAAACAAAGTTATACAGCATAAAACAGAAGACTGAATTTCCTTGATTGGTTCCTAAATGAAGGAAGCATGGTAATATGCACAAAAATTGAATTGGGTCTCTAAGTTTGCTCTCTCTGATGTCATTTGGCTTTGATTTGAGGGCATGGTTTGGCAGCAAAACATGTACAGGGGGCCACTATTTCAGTGGTATTCTAAGAGCAACCACTTTGTGCATATTGCCAAATGTTATGTCTGTCTCCAATCCTCCCCCGCCCATGCCCCCAATGATTGGGAACTATATGGGTTCTGTTGTTGTTGTTGGTTCCTAATAGAACACTTAGGATCAAACAACAGTTTCAATATCCCATAATGGATGCATGTCACCAATACATGTGTCACGGAAATTCCGAGGAGTCTGGCCAAGTGGGCATGAACAAGTAAATACAGAGCTTGCCCCTTAAGAGGTTGCAAATTCGAATTTCACGAAGGCCAAACAATTCAACATTGGGGCCGCTGGAGCTTTGTCCGGCCGTTAACTTCAGGGCCCCAGAATTAGTCTATGTTTACTTGAGACTATAAAGTGGAAACTCAGGGAATTTATATAATGAATCGCATTCATTTCTTCCTTTGGTAGATTTTCCCAATACATGTGAAGGGTGCTGCTGGGAGCTTGGTGGTGCTAGTGAATTGGTTGGGTGCTTGGGCAGTTTCTTTCACTTTCAACTTTCTCATGAGCTGGAGTTCCACAGGTTTACATAATTTTTGCAAACTTTTTTCAAAAAGCATTGGTGTACTAGCTAGCATTCATTCCATTGTTTTTAATTGGCAACTGATTCCATTTCTATTGGCCCTTTTTTCTCCTCAGGCACATTTTTTGTCTACTCCGTGTTTTGCGCGCTGACTGTACTTTTCGTGGCGAAGGTGGTGCCAGAAACGAAGGGAAAAACATTCGAAGAAATTCAGGCAGACATCAACAAATAAGCAAGAAGAATGTAGTAGTGAAGTGAATATTGTATTGGATTTCGTATCGTTGTTTCTTGATGTGACATTGAAGGAAATTAGTCCTTGAAACATTTTTTTTTTGAATTTCAAAAGAAATTTCTTTTAGTGATTCAACTAAATAAAGGAATTGAAATTGATTCTTTTGTAAAGAGATGTGGTAGAAGAAATGGAGTGGGGAGCCTCAGATTAATTCCATGGCAGAGTGGGATCATGTTCTTAATTACTTTGAAGCAACAGTTGTAATTAAAATTGCAAAAAATGAGTAAAATCCATTTCGTACTAAATTGTTCCAAGATTTGTCTTCCTACCTCTATGCAGAGGTTACACATTTCAGATATTAAATCATGGGCTATGAAAAGTTAAGGTAATTATGTAAAGAAACTAACTTAAGGTAATTTTGACATGTATATCGTAGACCGGTAAATGCATGCAGTAGTTGAGTCCATGGAGTCAGGGGCAGA